CAACACACACACCTTTCAGGGCGGTGGCTCACTGGTTTCTGGGCTGTTAGTGGGGAGTGGACAGGGGCTGCATGGTGACCTCTGGACCTTTTTCTCTTTTGGATTCCAGGACTCAGGTTGGAACCCAGGGTCAAAATTGCTCTTCCTTCCTATTTTCTTGAGGCCCCCACAGTGTGCAGACACCTCCACTTAGTGGGAAAGTGGGGGGCCTTGGCCTGCCCTGTCTGTGATCTCACATTCCTGTTTCTGAAATCTTTTCCTGTCCAATCTCCCGGGATCCTCACTAACTTCCCAGGATCTTGCCCACCTCAGCCTCTTAGGTCCCAGGGATGGTGTACTTCTCAGCTCTGGACTGTGAGAGGACAGCTTATTTAGTTCTCCTTGGGTTAAGGTAGGGTCCTATTTACTGGTCTGTGGGGTAGCTAAACCAGGGTCAAGGTAGAGGGCTCTGTCTGGGTACCACAAAGGGATTAGCAAGAGTTTCTCCCCTACCCAAAGCCAAATTGGGTGCAGTGCTCTCCTAACAGTAGGAACTCAAAATGGCCTGGGGGCCCTGGGCTGCTGAGCCTAGGGGAAAAGGTTGTAAAGTGCCCAGTTCTCCCCCGTAAGGTTGGAGGCTGGGAATGTTCCCTCTTGAGCAGTGAGAGCTGAAAGCTTCCTGGGGTAGCCCATCCTAGGGGCTCATGGGAGTGACCTAATTGCTCTCTCGGGTCTCTAACCAGAGATAGCACACAGCTCCGCAGCTGGAAGGGAGCCCTCCTGCAGAGTTGAGGAGATGGGGTGGGGGAAGCTGAGAAAAACAAGATCTCTCTGAGCTTCCTCCTTTTTGTGTTTTGAGCCTTTAGTACTCTGGACTGGTTTACAGGTTTTTGAGATCTGACACCCCTGCATCCACTTCAAGCTGAATACAGGCATCCTGGGGTGTGGGGGCGATGGCTGAGGACTCAGTAGGACCTGCACGAATTCCACCCTATAATTGAGCAGGTCCTGGGAATAGTTGGGAATGGTCCTGGTACCCCTGCACCCCCCCATGCACCGTCCATCTACTCTTAGGGGTCTGCAATGCCAAGGGGGGAGGCGAGAAGACAAGAAGGAGGCACTGCCCTCTGCTCAGCTGGAGCTCTGGGAGCTGCCTCTGCCTCCACGTCCAACCCTCAGGCTGCCACAGCCTTTCAAATGAACAGTTTCTCCCTGGCTCCGTCCATCTCCCTCTTTGCTTCTGGCCTGAGATCTCCCTCTCAGGTCCATGTGGATCGGCCTTCTCTGCTCTCTGATCCGAGCTCACCTCCCTTTTCTAGCTAGGCTCACCAGCTCTCCCTCTTTCTCACACTCCCTCTCACTCTTAGTCACTCTCTGCCTCTTTTTCTCAAGTCCTTTTGTTTCTCGCACATGCCCGTGCTCTCCCTCACAGGCTCATTTTCTCTGTTCCCTCCCCTCTTCCTCCTGGCTTTTGGTCTGTCTTGTTAGCCCTGTCAGAAGCTGCC